CGTCCATGGCATAATGTGGAAATTGACAAAGAAACAATCGAGGAGCATAAAGTTGAGTTGGATGCATACAGTGATAATAAACAAACTGAATTGATTTTTAAAGTGAGTTTTTTGGTGATTTTTTGATTGTGTTAATTTTCCCTTCTAATATCGCAACTAAAAATAAAACAACATTCATAAATTTCGCGGATTCCTTAATAAGTTTCTACTATCAGCTTGATTGCAACACCGTTTGTAATTTGAGGAAAATGCACTTGGACAATTCATCGCTTCATATTCTGCAGCATTTTCGCTTTATAATTCTATTTTTTCGGGAACTTTCAGCTTGTCACTTTTGAAGGCTGAAAAATTTTCTCTTTTATTCATTCATGCACTTTATGCGTGAATTTTGTTGTTGTCACCTTCCATTTTTTAAGCAGATAATTGAATCAAATAATCGAAATTTAATCATCACAAAACAATTAGCTGAAATAATACATCGCGCAACACTTGTCTTAATTGATAAGACACACTCTCATATAATGTAATGCATAGGCGCCCATTTGGGACTATAGTTGATCGAAATTTCACGGTTTCGCTGCCACACTGATTTGTACATTTTTCACTAACTTGCGAAGGTTTGTTCGTCGATTTTCGATGTGAATGCATTTTATTATTTTTACTACAGCTCATCCTATTATGCTCTTATTGGATAATATGCTTATTATTGCTGCTGCTGTTGTTGTTGTTTTATTGTGTTTGTTTGTCTAAATTATAATAATTTAAGGTGTATGCGAAATCGTGGAAACTTTCATTGTTGGATTGGGTGGCAAAATTTCAGACGAATTGTTGTGGGCAATGGGAATCAGGTGATGCAGACACACCAATGTTGCAACTGAACGATATGGCATTCTTTAATCGAGACTGCGTGTGAGTCGTTTTTCGCTGGTTTGTGTTCGATTACTCGTGTCCGATTATTGTTGCTGCTGCAGCAACAGCAGCTCATTTAAAGATTCTCTGATTTTTTTNTATTGTGTTGATGATTACGATTGCACGTTAGTAGGCGTAAGGAAATGGAAAATCAAATTTTCATTCGAAGAATTACCGATAAATTGTCACTTTGTTATTCCTATCACATTGCTTAATCAAACACCACCGAATAGCAATCCATTGAACAATCATAATAACGATAAGCATTTTGCCAATCATCGCTCGGAGTGATCGGCAAACCAATCCGCCAGTATCCGATTCACGAGTAATTTGACACGGTATCGGTACGAGAACAAAGCCGAAGAGAACAAAGTGCTTTTGAAAAAAATGGAAATGAAGGCAGTGAAAACTGCTTTGTCGCAAAAGTTTTCCATCAACGACTAGTAGTAGCAGTTTCAGTCCAACACATCTCTCACTACCGGTGCAATCGATCAGTTTCGGTAATATGATCAACGCTGCCACATATTACTCGCATTTCAAGCGTGAAACTGCACAGGGTCAAGCTGCTCAACAGTCGTGCAGATGGCTAAGCGTATTAAGTAATCAGCGCATCGATCAAGCCATGTTCGTGGACATGGAACATGATCGTAGTCTGTTGACTGTACGCTTCGCTTTATTGGACGGTCAGTAGTTATGTTGTGATGCTTGTTCGAATACTCTGTTCTCTTCTACAGGATTGCTTCGGATTTCGAGCTATGATCTGTTTTGGCATCAATCGTCTTTGTTATTATTGCATAAATTTTAGCACGAATAACAAGCAGCTACCATAAGAGTAGCAACAGCTATAATAATTGTAACCATAAGCATTCGAGTAGGATCAGTTAAGAGAATAATGATAATGGGCGCATTACGGATGTAGATAGGAATAATTGCGATGGTGATGATATTAAGAAGGTGATGAGAGAAATAAGGGTAATGCTATGAATTTGTTCTTGAGGTGGTTATAAACCGTCGGCGAACGAGCGATATGCTCCAGCCAAGGATGCAGTGCGCATACCAGCATCGGCAATTGCTGTGAGAGTAAGATTGCAATCAATTTTTTTTTGTTGTTATCAAATAAAATTGGTTTCAATTCAACGATATTTCAGCTTTAGTTTCGACGAACATTCAGACTGAGTAACAAAAAACTCTAATAACAACTGCAATAGTTATGCGCATTTTGGTAAATATTTCAGATAAGATACACATCAGTTCGACGCATCATATTTGATACACAAGTTAAGAGGAACGATGAAAAAGTGACAAGAGTCTATTTTCAACTGAATTATCCAGTTGAAATACGGCGATATCGGCATCGGCCAATGGCCGAGCGGCCTGATTTGATCTCGATAGGGAATGGCATGCGGCAAATGTGCGTTTTGCTGGGTTATTATTATTTTTTCATCGAATTCATTTTTACTTATGCAATTATTCGTTTGCTGATCAACTCAATCGTTCATCCTAAAAACATTAATCATTCCCAATTGGATTGCATGAATGAAGAATGACCGTGCACTCGAACGTTTTAAATTTGCAGTTTCTTCCCCGAAAACGACAGGGACCCACAAAATAAGAATGCTCGAAACAGAGAAAATTTCATAATGGCCATAAACACTAGTCCATTCATGTACATTGAATTTGATTCATCGTTGGAGGTTTGTTTTTGAAATTTCCATTTGATTGCAATCTCTTGGGAAAACGAAATTTCACCTTCATCGGAAGCAAAAAAAACATTTCAGATAATTTACTGCCATGATGTGTTTTTCGTCTAGGTCATTCATTTATGATATGGGTATCTTGCGATATGTGCGAAATTAACAACGCACTAACGCGTACAAAAAATTTTATGATCGCAAAATATCATCAGCATCTCAAAACTCTCCAGCATTCCGGCGTTTAAAGCTGGCTAGCTATTGTAGAGAGTATTACGCAAAAAATTTTTCATTCTTTTGAAATACTCTTAAATTTCAATGAAGCACTCAAGCACGAAACGCAACATGTAACTGATAAAAGTTTCGTCGCACATACTCATATGTTATTTAATTGTATGTGTAGAGATGTGCTTAAATGATACCCCGGACACAGGAAGTTATTTAGATATACAAGGAAAAAACCAGTCTTCCTTAATGGGACCAGAAGTATGCACTGGTCACTTTTGATCTCCATAGGGGTAAACTAAGAGTTGAAAATGAAACGATGATTGCAATACAAAGCATCTGAACGTAGAAACTAGAGCATTGCGGGACGGGAAGAAAGTAGGGGACGAAATTTCGCATTCGAGGACCCCGAATATATAGTCGGCTCGAAAAATTTTGAAGATGGGGATAGATTTGGGTCCCCGAAAATCACCAATACTCGCAACATAGTAGTTAGTCATCATAATTGTTTCTCCTTTTCTTAATTCATTTTTTGACGTAATATTATTGAATTTNGATCGAATGCGTTGATAAGCCCGTTAGCTGGTCGTTTTTTTACTATTATTGTCATTATCATCGTGACAATAATCACTTGCTTTTTTATTATTCTTTATTGCTGAGTCGATGCCATTTTAATTGCTAACTGTTCCTATCACTAATGTTATTGAAAAGTTGAATCTCTCCTCATTGTCGCCTTAAAGTTTCGGTTTTGATTGTCACTACCACGAAACAATACTATTTCAGCAGTAGGATATCTGTTGTGCAGTAATGGTCAATATTCATACATTTATTCGTTTGCTTGAATGACCGTCAATATTTCAACTTTTACCGCTAACATACATCAGAAAGATGGATCGCATTAGGCGAATGATTGAGACATGAAATGTTGACCAGTACACACTTGATTTGCTGGCTAAAAAATCGCCAATATGCCAGCAGCGTTTCAAGCTGGCTAGCTTTTGTGATCAGTATTACGCACCAAATATTCTATTCTTTGCTGACCAATCAAAAGCAAATCAGTTCAATCGACAAGAATGCATCTGATACAAGTTGTGTTCTCATTTGGTTTACATCGATAGCGATTATGGTAAGTTGATGCTTTCAGTTACGTTGACCCACCAGTTCGTCTGACGAGCAGTTCTGCGGAACAAAGCGATAATATGCAGAGACTGATGAGTCCAGTTGAGCCGAAAGTCAGTGAGGAATGGACAAATGAATTGAGGCGTCGCGGAAGTTTTGCATTGGAGTATTTTATTGCTGCATTACTTAGTAGAGGTGTGGTCGTGAAAGATCAAATTTTGGTTTGTTCTTTCCTTTGGTGGCATTGCATTTCA